TAAATAATATATTTCTTTTTTTTAACTAAGAAAAAACATCATAAATGGTCCCTGTGATAGTGAAATGACGTAAATACCCTTCAGTTAACGGACAAAACTTAACGGAGTTAGCAATAAGGACCAATCGTCAAAAGTTATGAAAGCACAGGGACCATCTATGAGGTTTTTAAACCACGGGGACTAAACTTCAGATTTTGGGTAACCACAGGGACCATTTATAATGTTTTTTCTTATTAATTTCTTTTAGTTTCCTTTTTATTAGATTATTTCTTTTTTATTGGATTATAATTTATTAATAGTCATTATTTTTAATATATAATATTTTATATATTAATAAATATTATTTTATTAGATTACTATTTTTTTAATTGTTTCTATATTTTTAATTGATTTATTTATTATTTTAAATCAAAAAACCCAAAAAACAAATCTCACCCACCCCACATATCCTCATTTATTTTAAATATTTAGAAGATACTATATTTTGGATAACACCGTCACCATCACCCAATCCGACATAGGTGGGATGTGTGTATTTTTTTAAAATAAATTACGATGGTGGTGGTGTTGTCCATAAAAAAAAAGAATTAATCCAAACAATATGGTGAAGGTCGTGCGACAAATTACTTTAGAGTATGTTTGATGGGGGAGACGTATAATGTCGAAAAAGAGTCAGTCTACTATGACATATCGCAAGAGTTCTTAAAGATTGAGTATTATGATAGCGGGTCGTCGACTGTTATACTGTTTTATTGTATTTGGTTTGATAACAAATACGGTGTAATAGTCAACAAAAACAAGTTGATTGATGTCAAACCCAACTCTCGAATTCAAACTGACGATCCTTTTGTTTGGCATCAAAAGCAGAACAAGTGATTATACACCATACCCTTCAGTGACAAAGGAGACGAAAGATAAGTAGACGGTTATCAAGACAAAACCAAGAGGGGTATTTAAAGACACCAAAGCTGAAATGGAAGTAGATGACATCTTTTAGGTTGAAGAGAGGTTTGAGTCACATCTCACTGTAACTCATGCAGAGCAATTGTGCCTAGCCTTAATTACAAATACGTGTGACCAAATATTTGATGACGAGAATGAGAGATTTGGGGAGGAAGACGAAGACAAGGAAGATTTTGAAGACATAGATAATGAAAATGAGTGGTTTTATTTAGACTATTAATTTCTTTTAATTAATTGTTTTAATTTCATTTTTATTGGATTAATTCTTTTTTTTGGGCAACACCACCACCATCATAATTTATTTAAAAAAAAAAATATCACATATCCCGCCACTACCGGACTATGTGATGGTGGTGGTGTTCTCCAAAAATGTTATCTTCTAAATATTTAAAACAAATTAGGAGATGTGAGATGGGTGAGATTTTTTGGGTTTTTTGATTTAAAATAATAAATAAATTAATTAAAAAAAATTGTAATACAATGAAATAATATTTATTAATATATAAATATTGCATATTAAAAACAATAATTATTAATAAATTATAATCCAATAAAAAGAATTACTCTAACAAAAAAAGTTAAAAAAGATTAGTAATCCAATAAAACAATATTTTTAATATAATAATAATAATAATAATAATAATAATCCAATAAATAATCTATTAAAAAGAAATTGAAAATAATTAACTAAACGTAATTAAAAATCCAATAAAATAATATTTATTAATATATAAATATTAAATATTATAAATAATATTTATTAATATATAATAATCCAATAAAAAAGTAGTCCAAGAAAGTAAAAAAATAATTAATTAAAAGAATGAATTAAATAATATTTGAATAAAATTAATTTAAGAGATGCAAAAATGGCCATTGTAGTTTAGTTGCAGAAATGGTCTTCGATGGTAAAATTGTCATTTTAAAAAAGTTAACAGCCAAGTTGTTAAAGTTAATATTTTTGGACAAAAAACGCACAATATATTTAAAATTGGATCATTTTTGCACCACAAAACAATTTTGGACCAAAATCACATAATTTTAACAACTATAGGGATCATTTTTGTAATTTTGTCTTCAAAGTTTAAACCTTTTCCTGGATGACTTTTACATTGGATGACGGTTTATGAATTAGATAAAATATGGTTGTTATTTTTACATTTATTAGTAAGAAAAAAGCAAATTGTATCTTTTTGAAAGCCAAACATGTTTCATGTAATCATGTCTCATAACATGAGAAGTAAATCAAATTAGAGATAATTATTTTTAAACAGCAAACTAATTTATTTTTAACTAACACACCTATATTTCAAATGAAACTTGAACTCATGACCTCTCAATTGAAAATGTTACTTACTGTTAGGTTAAATGCTCTTTGATTAAATCATGAAATAACAACAATGTTTTTAGATGTATTAGAATTAAATCACGGGCTCCTAATAATTCGTTGTACATGGAGATTTCGGTACATATTCAACCCTACAAGACCGATTGTTTGCAAATTACAATTCCTCTAAATCTTGTGATATCATCCTTCAATCTTGTTATACTAGCTTCACAAAAAGAGATTTTTTGGGAATTTTTCTTAGTAGTGAAGTGTGGTGGGAGAAAGTTAATGGCCTTTTAGAGTATATGGCGTTAGAATTCATGAATCATTTCTTGGATTTTCTATCAGGTATAACACTTTCTGGGCTAGTCCATTACATAGTGATTAACTGATTATAGAGGTTGGTCCATTACATAGTGATTAACTGATTATAGAGATGCAATATATTTGGTTCATGATTCAAAACTATGTTCACACGGAAAAAAGTTTGAACATTGTTTTGGTCTATCTGACCTTGATAATAGAAATTTTTGGGTTTGAGGATGAAGAAGCGTGTGATGGCGTGGAACTAGTAAAGAAGCATACAATGAAGGATCCTATATTTACGGAAGTAAACCCAATTATTTATGAGAATTCGATAAATATTGAAAAACAAAAAAGATATGAAACTAGCAATGTGATTGAAATGCGTTGAAGAAGATTTTCAAATTAAAACTACATAATCTTAGAAAATACATATTCGAAGCAATATGCCATTCTGAAATGTGTCAATGGCGTAACTATTGGGATTTGATGCAAAAACATTTTAAGAAATTAATATGTAGCGGAAAATCATATTCAAACTTTTATAAAACCCAAATTGGATCCACTTAGAGCAGAACAATCAACTCTGCAACCATAGAATGTTTTTGGATCATTCATTTGATGAGTATGGATCCATTGATCTATGAGATAACAATCATGATTTATTTCCACTATACATATCCACACAAGAAAATCCGGACACTGCTAGACTTTCAACCAATCAAAGTTGTTCTTTCCTTGCTTGAACATGAAGCAATCGACCTCAAATGGGAGGCTGATGAGGGCGCCGATTTGGGAGGGAATAGGAAGAATTACGGTTTGAGAAATTAAAATGTTTCCTACTTTTTATACCTACAAATGTTCCTACCCAATAAAATTATGACAAGTATAATCATTCCATATTTTTTTAACTAACTCATTAAGGCTATATTAGGAATATATATCAAATAAAATGAAATTGAATGGTGATTTGTCATAATTTTAATGGGTAGAAATAATTGTAGGCATAAAAAGTAGGAGGTAATTTAATTTCTGGTTGGGTTTTGAGTTATGTTGTTTATCTTCCATAATAGTAATTTTCGTCCCTGCAATACTTAAATTGTTGGGTTCAAGCCACCAGTTAAGTAAAGTGAACTTTTTCATGTTAAAAATTTGGAGGACCACGACATTTATTCAAAAACCTAAATATATCTCAATCATTGTCAAGATAACAAAAAGTTGTTGGTTATTCACCGAACTAGGTAAGGAGTGAGACTTGAGAAAATAAAAATTTAAAGATCTTAATTCTTGATTTAAAGTTTACATTTTCTACTCCCAAGCTTCACGAGCAAAGTGCTATGCAATTGAACTTTTAAAAGGATTCTTTTACCAATCTTCCAAGGTATCGTCATAACCTAAAGAAAGAGAATCTAGGACCATTACCCCACATTCAAACGAATGATGGTAAATGATTATTTTCTTATTCTGAAAACTATAACCCCAATCATTGGCAGATCAAGAGTTTCATTGATCATAATAAACAGTGCCCACCTGAAGGGAAAATACTTGGGCGCTGTGTTCTTATTTGTTGTCATGGACAGAGGCTCCATGTTCTTAGTTGGATGAAAACAATTAGATCTTCACATTGCCTATAGAATGAACAAGACATAGGGTGATAATCTTGGACATGTTTTTAATGAGGTTGAATGGATTATGGGTCAGATGGAACACTTGGTCATTATATATGACAAGGTCACTGCCATTCATGTAGACACTAAAAGGGTCTTCATAAACACGTTTCACAACCTTTATTTTCTGCAATTAGCCATGAACTTACGAATGAAGTCTCGAGATAACGAATGTCTATTCAAGAAAACATGCAAAGCATAAGTAGACAGATATCAAAGAAAGATTTGATAAGCTATATTATGCTTTATCTCGAGCATGTGACAAGGTTTCCCATGAAAAATAGGCAAGAACATTATTCCTTGATTGTTAACAATGTCAAATACATGAACGCCTTTTTATAAATATGTACGCAATTGTTAATAATGACGCTTATTGATTTTTCTTGGAGTATATTATACCACTGGTATTTTCGACTTTAGCAGAACTATATGATAATAAATGTTTTTCAATTTTGTAATAGAATTTCTACATGACTCACCCCTTGGGCGGAGGGGAAAGTACATAAAAGAATTGGATAAAATATAAAATTGAAAGTATACTCTGTCACGGACTACAAATTTTAAGTAGATGACTATTATAACAATAATGCCATTGATGAGACATTAGCCTGAATGAAATTGAAATGCTATGGTTATCTTTGTGGTCACTCAACAATGACCTTGAAATAAGTTTTTAGAATCCTATGAATGGGAAATGCCTTACTTTAGCTTATAAGTTAATTGGGTTGTATATGAGGAAGGTGTGAATCACGTTCTTGTGATTATAACCCAATATCAATCATATTTTCTCCATAGTAATAGTATACCAAATAATTCAACACAAACCCTCCAAACAAAACAATCATGTAATAACGTATGCTGTCCATACCAAATCTATGTTTCTATATCAAGGTTTTTTTTTTTTTCACAAGCAGATAGAAAAAGAAAGTTGTGAAATATTAAACCATGTGTTAAAAAGCCATCTCCCTCCCCACCCCCCACTGTTTATTAAGGACCAAATGGTAATTTGCTCCCTTCACCTTGTAAACATAACTCTGTTCCCCTCTACAGGACATATCTGGATATGGATACATGACAACCTTCAAAAAAAAAACATTACAATAGTGAGAACAAAAGCAAATATTACAACATGGATAAATAAAAATGTAACTACTCACTTTTGCAGATAACTGATGAAATCTTTGATTGGTCAAATGAGTTGAACATATTAGTTTGAAGCAGCATTCGGACCGGTAGCAGGGGTATTATTGTCATTAGATGCTGGATCTGGATCATGATCTTGTCTATTATGTTCATGGGTTTCCAGGCACTCCATCATTTGGGATACATTTTCAATGCCAGCAGCATTCACTTCTCTCCTGTCTTCTGAACCAATGTTTGACATGGATGGACTCTTGTTAAAAAGCCTATCCTTCAACTCTCGAGTACTCTTCGATAGTGATTCCTTATATCTTCAGAAAAAAAATTTAATTAATCTACTTTTTCAAATTAACAATTAAAAACTAAAGTTTGCATGAACTAGTGAGTTTGTCCTGAATTTATCATGCCATTTTTAGCAAATCCTAACCTCATTGAAATAGCATTAAATCTTGATTTCCATGAATTTGTTACTGTTTGGAACTCTGAAGGACCAGCTTGATCTTGATCAGGAAGAGATAATTGACTACTTGAGCTTCTGTAGAAAAACCAAATGATTCAGTCAAGATATACAATTTGATTTCCAAGAAAATCAAAAAGATCGTAACATCATGCTTGGTATGACTTTTTTTAAAATTAATGGAAAAATCTCATCATAAATCCTACAACAAATAGTAACATTCAGCCATTTAGGTGTCAACTATATAATAAAAATACCATATCAGGTTTGACCTCAAAAGTCAAAAGTGTACACTTTCCAATAAACCCATAAGAAAAGTCAAGAAATATTCATCCCACTTCATACATGTAGGTTCCCAGTGAAGAAAGATCAAAACTTTGTAAATACCCAATTAAGCAAGATCAAAACTTTATAAAAACCCAATTAAGCAAGATCAAAACTTTGTAAATACCCAACTAAGAAAGATCAAAACTTTGTAAATACTCAACAAAAAAAAGATCAAGTTTGTAAATACCCAATGAAGAAAAATCAAAACTTTGAAAATATCCAATGAAGAAAGATCAGAACTTTGAAAATACCCAATGAAGAAAGATCAGAACTTAGTGAATAACCGATGAAAGAAAATCAAAACATTCTAAAATCTTAATACCCAATTAGAAAGGTCAAGAAATATTTATGCCACTTCATACATGTAATGATGCAAACACCCAATGAAGAAAGATCAAAATTTTCTAAATACCCAATTAAAAAAATCAACACTTTCTAAATACCCAATTAAGAAAAAGCTAACAACTATCCATGCCACTTCATACATGCACATACCCAAAGAAGAAAGATTAATCTTTTTTGTAAATACCTATGTATAACTGAGGTCCCTTGTTGACTATTGGATATGTTAGCTGTTTCTGAAGTTGACCTAAGTGGAACAGATGGGCTAGCTGAAGTGACACCAACGGGTTCACCTTCCACTCCACCTGGATCAGTGGCAGATGAAGGTGCATTAGGGTTAGCAGAGAAAACCAAGAACTGTGGTTGACCATGACCCGTTGACCGGTTTCTTGACCCCTCCCTTCTACTCACATGGTGGGTCCTCCCCATGGCGGCAGCAGCCGCTAGATGCCGGATAATTCGATCCTCAAGTTCACCCTCATTAACACCAACCGGTAACTGAAATAGAAACACAGATGTTAAAAGATTCATGTTAAAAAAAAAAAACGTCTTTTTATAAATTATTTTAGAAATGATAGATGACAAACATGTTGTAGTTCAAAATCCCCGAGAGTGGGATGATGAAATATTGTTGAAGTTCTTGCAGGCTTGAACCTGATGCGTCTTTCCTGTTCTACTGCCTCTAATAACTCTTGACTGCAAATTCATGTTGACCAGTGACATGTCAGCTTTTTCACAATCTAGATGGGACCCACAAAACAGATAGTAATCAAATGTATATTACAAAAAACTGGACAATCACCTGGTAGGATCCTTGAGGGTGATGGCTTGCCAACACATTGGACAGTTTGAGCTTCTTTGGCACCTATAAGAAAGATATTGAATCAGTTTTTTTTTAAGAAAAAAAAAAGGGAAAACTCATAGGGTATGCAAAATATGGATATATTTCAGGCCTTACCATTCAAGAATGCACTGAAGATGGAACTCATGCTTGCATCCAGTCACCTGCAACAAATGGAAAGTTTAATTTTGCCAAAAATGGTGTAGTTTAAGAGCTTCTAAAGTAGAAAAAAAATGCAATGGCATAAATGTAATAAGTATAAAATTAAGTACCGTGCCAGGATCACTATCACAGAAAGCCTCAAGGCAAATGCTACAAGAATCATCACAAGCTTCTTGAATTCCTCCTTCCACAAAAGCTGCAGCTGATGTCAGATGACTATCGTTCTTGCTCTCCTCCTTCTCCAAAACCTTAGACATTACAAAACCCTAGATATAACATGAAGAAGAAAAGACACCAAAACGAAGTTTACAAAGTATGATCCAATTTGTTTCACTCGTCGTTAAAACCCTGAATTCAATTTCACAAAACTAATATTAAACCCTAAAATTTTCTTCCCTAAAACCACCATCAAGACTGCAGACTAAGGCGATTCCCTGAAATTGCCCACAAATTTCTTTCCGCAAGAACTCAAAGACTTCAATTTTTAGTACCGATCACCACAAACTCGTAATTACAGATGTATCAGATAAGTAATCAAATATGAGAACCCTAGAAGATAAACAGCTCAACCCATAAGGTGTAACAACAAAGGTTAAATATCAAAAACCCTAATCAAATTCCTATCGCTTAGCACATAGATCAGCTTATTGTTATAGAGGAATCGATTTACCTCCATGGGAATAGACGTGATATTCCAAAAAAAAAGGGATCAAGAACTTTAAGAACCTCTCATGAAAATTGGAGATCAAATTCGTAGGATTTTCCCTTCTTGCAAAGGGAAAATTAGTATCCAGATATCATTGTGATGGTCCTTAAACCACCGAATTGTGATGAGACATAAAACAGAGAGAGAATGATGGCGTGTTGAGGAAAGCGATGGAGAATCGAATTCAGTGAAACTACTTCGCTTTTGGATGTTTTAACAAAAATGTTCCTCCATTTTATCTTTTATTCAATTTCTTTTAACTACTAAAGTTCAACCGTTGCAAAAATGAAGAGGTCTACGGGTTGGAAAATGGATCGAAAAAGTTGCCGGCAGATTTGATTGACCCGAAATATTTCGTATGTAGTTGGAAAAATGGATTAATAGGTTAATGTATTTTTTATTTTATCTTACTTTAACTTGTTTATTTTTTGTTTCTGAAATATTTATTATTTAACTTTGATTTTAAATAATTTTTGGTATATAATATTTGATGCAAAATATATAAATGGATTGTGTTTTAAATATTTTTTTCATTGTTATAAGTCTCATCAAATAATTTATAACACAAATAAAAATATTTAAGGTCAAAGTTGAAGAATAAATACTTCAAAAATCAAAAGTGGATAACAATATGAGACGAAGAAAGTATATATTTAGTTATTGAATTTTTTTTGTTCATATATTACCATGTACCTTATTTATTTATTTATTTGTCCATATTTAGTCTTTATAACTAGGGGTGAGAAAAATCGAACCAAAAAACCGAAAAACCCGACAAAATCAAAACTGTAATAAAAATCGACGGTGTGGTTTAGTTTTTTAAAAAACCGAAATATTGGGTCGGTTTCGGTTTTATAAAATGTAAAAACCGAACCAACCCGAATTTTGTGAAATAT